AGATGCATGCTGCAGATTGATCTTCAAAAAGCCTATGACATGGTGGATTGGGGGGCTCTTGAGGTTATTCTGAGGGAGATTGGGATTCCACCATAATTCATCCATTGGATTATGATTACTGTCACATCTGTTACGTATGAATTTAATGTTAATGGTGAACTGACTGAGTCTATGCAAGCCTGTAGAGGTGTGAGACAGGGGGACCCCCTCTCCCCCTTGTTATTTATGGTTGTCATGGAATATTTGAGCAGACTACTGATTAAAATGCAACATGATCCAAAATTCAGATTCCATGCAAAATGTGATAAAATTGGCCTCACTAATCTTATGTTTGCAGATGATGTTCTCCTTTTTAGTAAGGGAGATTCTGACTCTATGAGACTCTTATTGTAGACTATTTCATTGTTTTCAGCCTCTATTGGTCTGGTCATAAATCCCCTGAAATGCAAGATTTTCTTTGGAGGCAGGATCAATGGTATTAAGCAGGAGCTTTTAGAGATAACCAGGTTTGAGGAGGGTAGTCTACCAGTTCGATATCTGGGAATTCCACTTACTTGCAGGATACTCACTATAAATCATTACCTCCCTCTTATAGACAAAATCACTTGCAAAATTCGCCACTTGACTGCTAAATTGCTGAGTTATGCGGGGAGGATCCAACTTGTAAAAAGCATATCCTTCTCTATATCGCAGTATTGGCTTCAATGTTTACCTCTTCCGGTTTTTGTAATCAAGAAAATTAATGCCTTATGTAGATGTTTTATTTGGAAAGGTTCTCTTGAGATTAGTCGTAAGAGTCCTATGGCGTGGAAGACAGTATGTAGTCCTAGTTATCAAGGAGGTTTGAACGTGATTAATGTGGCAGTCTAGAATCAGGTTTGCATGCTTAAATGCCTTTGGAATTTATGCCGTAAAACTGATAATTTGTGGGTAAAATGGATTCACAACTATTATTTAAAGGCGGAAATATCATGGACATGGCTGTCAATGATAATTGGTCCTGGGTCATGAAGAATATAATGCAGGTTAGAGTCCTTACTAGTCAATTTCCAGCTTCCTGGATCGTTTGCTTGCAGCATGAGAAATTTCAAATGAGTAAGATATACAGGATGCTCATAGATGATGGCACTCGTGTTCTGTGGAGGCAGTTAACCAATAAGAATGCTGCTAGACCCCGTGCTATTTTGAACTTATGGCAGATTTGCCATGGAAAATTGCCAACCAAAGAGAGACTTTGCAGATTTGGTCTGATTCATGATGACATTCGCAACCTTTGTATGGAGAATGTTGAAACCATTGAGCACCTATTTTTCCAATGCAGGAACACTGTTATTATATGGAAAGAAATTCTAAAATAGATGGAGGTTCAACATAGTCCCCTTGTCTGGCAGGAAGAGGTTGATTGGGTCATCACCCAAATGAAAAAGAAAGGATGGAAAGGAGCACTCCTCAAGCTTGGATTTACGGAAACACTTTATGGCATTTGGCTCCATAGGAATACTGTTACCTTCAATACCTTGGTTACCAAGAATATTGAAGAAGATATTATTGAGAACATTATATATAGGGGTTGGTATAGTAAAAAGTTAAGAAAGCATGTAGCTAAGCTAATGCTTTAGTTTTGTCTTGCGTGTTTGCTGGATCCTTTGATCGCACCCTGTACTTAAGTGAATTTTTGAATTAATACATATATTTTTTATTCAAATAATAATAATAATAATAATAATAATAATAATAATAATAGTAATAATAATAATAATAGTAATAATAATAATAATAATAATAATAATAATAATAATAATAGTAATAATAATAATAATAATAATAATAATAGTAATAATAATAATAATAATAGTAATAATAATAGTAATAGTAATAATAATAATAATAATAATAATAATAATAATAATAATAATAATAATAATAATAATAATAATAATAATAATAATAATAATAATAATAATAATAATAATAATAATAATAATAATAATAATAATAATAATAATAATAATAATAATAATAATAATAATAATAATAATAATAATAATAATAATAATAATAATAATAATAATAATAATAATAATAATAATAATAATAATAATAATAATAATAATAATAATAATAATAATAATAATAATAATAATAATAATAATAATAATAATAATAATAATAATAATAATAATAATAATAATAATAATAATAATAATAATAATAATAATAATAATAATAATAATAATAATAATAATAATAATAATAATAATAATAATAATAATAATAATAATAATAATAATAATAATAATAATAATAATAATAATAATAATAATAATAATAATAATAATAATAATAATAATAATAATAATAATAATAATAATAATAATAATAATAATAATAATAATAATAATAATAATAATAATAATAATAATAATAATAATAATAATAATAATAATAATAATAATAATAATAATAATAATAATAATAATAATAATAATAATAATAATAATAATAATAATAATAATAATAATAATAATAATAATAATAATAATAATAATAATAATAATAATAATAATAATAATAATAATAATAATAATAATAATAATAATAATAATAATAATAGTTTTAGATACTATTAACCTACTATCAACTCCATATTTATATCTGTTTATTAATGGGTAAACCTTTTTTTTCAATAAACAATGATACTTGTATTTCAAGTACAAGAGATACTCAAATCTCATTTACAACGTCTAGATTACATTCATTACGACCACAGAATTGTTCCACCATTTATAGAAACTTCTCTGAATTTTAACTCTAGCTCCTATTACAAACCAAACACAGGAAATATCTATTAATTTCACCTATGAATATCTAATCAATTATCAGACCTGCCCTCAACCCATGTTTACCTGCGGATAAGGATTTTTTTTTTCCATCTAGAATAATGTTGCAAAGTACAACTCTCCAACTTTCTTTTACACCAAACATTTTCAAGTTGCAAAATACAACTCTCCGACTTTCTTTTCACCAACTTTTTCAATATTTCGTCGTCAATCTTGATGACTCGTACAAGTTTTTTGAATTTTTTTATTGTTGAATCAGAAATAGTTTAATTTCTTGGATGCAACACAATTTTATTTTGAAATCTTCAATTCATCTACGTCATATCACTATTATTGACTATGTCACATCCCAAAAATAATGAAAGAATCAACAAATCTCAAAATTATTCAAAAAAATAGCAATAAAAACAGTTTAAAAATATATGACTAAGAATTAACTTTTGTAAAAATAAATAATATATTAAAAATTTTAAAACTAAATCCAATGATCTACGATGTACATAAATTTACGATACGTTTTCTCATATGTAATTTTTTTATTTGAAGTGGTTTGAGGAATATCTTCATATGAATTTTATTCAGATATAAAATGACATAAAAAAAAATTAAATTTGTAATGACTAAGATTTTGTTTGGTAAAATTAAGCCAATAGCTATTAATTGATAAATTAATTTGAGTATTTGATAAATTAATTGTTATATTAGTTGATAAATATAAAATTATATAAAAAGACATTTTTATTACAAAATTGATAATTATTTATATTATTATATTCTATAATAAAATTAATTTTTATTTGATAAAAATAAATATATTAATAAAAAGATGCAAAACAATTTTAATATATATGAAAAATTAAAGATAGCATCTAAATATATAAAATTTATATATAAATTTTATAATGAAATTTATGAAATATATAAAATTTGAATTCAATTCAATAAATCTAAAATAAATCTAAAATAAATTTATCGTTTAAAATTCTACCATAAAAGTACAATAAAATTTTAAATTCTTTTTGTCTTAATTGATCTCATTGATTCTTCTCTCACGTTTCACTAACTTGAAAATTATCAATATTATTTTAAAATTTATTATATAATTTAGATGTTATTGCAAACATTAAACATGTGTAAGTTGATGCGAATATATATATATATATATATATATATATATATATATATATATATATATATATATATATATATATATATATATATATATATATATATATATATATATATATATATATATATATATATATATATATATATATATATATATATATATATATATATATATATATATATATATATATATAAAAGATTATATATATTTTTGGTCTGTATAAATTATTAAATTTTATTTTTGATTTCTATAAAAAAACTGACATGTTTTAGTCCATATTAAATTATTATGCATGTAGTTTTAATCACTGTTGTTAAGCTGATATATATTTTTGAATAATTAGTTTGCAGACATATTTAAAACGTTATAAAAAAAATTTTAAAAAAAACTAAAAATTTGATTTCTAAATCGATTTTTATTATTTTTATTAATATATTTTGAAATTTAAAAAGTTAATATTTAATTTTTTCATTTTAAAAAATTCTAAAATTCGATAAATAAATATTTTATAATATTTTAAACACTTATAAAAAATTATTCAAAAATTTTAAAATTTAAAATAATTAAAAAAATTTCAAAATTTTAAAAAACCACATGGACTAAAACTGAGTGAATAAATTTTTTGTAAGAATTAAAAAATATTATTTTTTTAATAGAAATTAAAAATATAATTTGAAATATTTATAAAAACCAAAAATAATTTTTATTAAAATGATAAAAATATAAATGAAAGAAAAATCACAAGTTAAAAATTACAAATTTAAAAACTAATTCAAATAACTTTTAAAAAAAAACTAAAAACTAATAAAAAAGCTAAAAGTTAAACGTTAATTGGTTTTATCAAAGACTGTCCAAATTTAGAAAGTTATATGCATGTGGTCTTATACCACTACCAATTTATCAAGATATATGAATCTGACTTTTCTTCTTTCCTTATCTATAAATAATAATAAGATGGTGAAATAATATTAAGCCACAATCACTAATTCACCAACAAACAACAGCCACAAAAAATACAAGATAAAAACATTATGGGTACTGAAAATGTACAAGATAGAAAACATTATGTTCTTGTTCATGGTGCTGGCCATGGAGCTTGGTGTTGGTACAAGGTAAAGCCAATGATAGAATCTTCTGGTCACTTGGTCACTGTAATTGACCTTGCAGCTTCTGGAATCAACTTGAAGAAAATCGAAGATGTTAATACAATTTCAGAGTATTCTGAACCTTTGTTGGAGTTAATGGCCGCAATTCCTCCTAATGAAAAGGTGATTCTTGTGGGTCATAGCCTTGGAGGATTTAACATAGCACTTGCCATGGAACGATTTCCAGAAAAAATTGCTGTTGCTGTTTTCTTAACTGCTTTTGCTCCTGATGTTCAACATAAACCATCATATGTCATGGAAAAGGTTTGTTTCATAACCCTCACAATATTTTCTAGTGTTTTGTATAAAAAAATTACAAATGCAATTTATATATGGTTGTGATTTTATCAAAATAAGGCCTATAGATATTTTTGAAGTGACAAATCAAATAAAAATCATAGTTTATTATTAATTACAAATGCAATTTATATATGGTTGTGATTTTATCAAAATAAGGCCTATAGATATTTTTGAAGTGACAAATCAAATAAAAATCATAGTTTACTATTATCTTTGTTTCTTTTTATATAAGAGATAATTTATTTTTTAAATTTATTAAATAATCATTATAAAATAAATAGATTAAATATAAATTATTCAATGAATTTAAAAAGTGATTTATTTCTTATAAAAAAACGGAAATAATATAATATAATTGTGATAAATATTCTATGATATTTTTTTAATCACGATTTAAATATAATTAATTTTAAACTACAATTTAAATGTAATAAATTAAATATATATTTTATTATGACAAATATTTTGATCTGGTAGATAGATGAATAGTGATTTAATAAATTTAAGTAGTTTTGATATTAAACAAAACTTTGATACATTTAATTTATAAATTGCTAATGCTTTATTTAGGAGTTTGGAAGCAAACGGAGAGGAAGGTTTTAAAAAAAATGTGTGAAAAGTATATAAACATTTTAGTGGAAAGACTTTGAAGAGTTTATTTTTATTTAAAATTTAAAATTCTTCTAATTTGAAGAAAAAGAATCTCTTAATTTGACAGAACTAAAAAAAAATATCGAGTATTAAAAAGATTAGACAAATTGGATAAAGAATTTAATTGGTATGTCCTCTTTACTGAAATTTAACTTTTATTTTAATTATTTATAAAATAATAATTATAAATAATTGTAATGTAGTGACTGTATAAAAAAATTTATATTAATAATGCATAGTAATTAATCTTTCTTATAAATATAAGAAGAAGTTTTACACCCTTAATAAATCATGATTGTTAGATTGTAAATTATGTTTTATTTTTATTTTAATTATTTAATGAATAATATTAGTGGGTAGTTGTGATGAATTGATTATGTAAAAAAACTTATAACTGATCGTGCATAGCAATTAATCTTCAAATATAATTTATGTTATAATATTCTAAAAATTTAAAAATATATATTAATAATAAACACTTTTTTATTATTCTGTAAAAACATTAAAAAAAAATGTTAAACATTTTTATATATTCTAAAATTTCATTTTTTTTTAAAAACTCTCCTCTCTTCTCCTAACTCACAAAGTCTAAGAGTGTATTTGAATGAAGTATTTTAATGAGGAAAGGTAATTTTTTTTTAAAATTTAAAATGATTTGATCAAAATTTATTGTTTGGATAAAAAAATATAGAGAATTGTTAACGTGATGTGAATTTATAAAACATTTTATTTAAGTCAAATTTAAGGAATTTCAAATGATACCAAAATATAAAGAATTTCATATTGCTCCATAATTTGAATATTAAATTGTTTATTATTATTATTTAAAAATTTGCAAAATTGTCCTTATATTTTATGAAAATTACAAATTTACCTTTAAAATTTTCAAAAAATTGTAAATAAATTCATAAAAAAATTTCAAAATTTACAAATTGGTCTTTTAAATTTTTCAAAAATTGCAAATTAATTCTTATTTTTCATATTTTAAATTTGACCCAAAAGTTTTAAAATTTATGAAAATAGCCCTACAAATTTAACAATGAATCATTTTAATACTCTATCCAAATAAAAAAATTTAAAATTAAATAAATTTCAATTAAATTATTTGAATTGTTTAAAATTTTAAATTTTTTAAAAATTCTTAATTTCCTCGTCCAAACACACTTAAGTGATAAGAAATTTTAACCTCTAGGAGATTCAATTCGGTCTTTAATTTTTGCATAAAGAAAAAATAAATTTACATATAAATAAATAAAACCTATTATTACTTCATGCCTACAATATGTGAAAAAAACTTAGTATTAATTTTTCATATTTTATTTAATTAAATTCATTCGCGCATGCTCATTAGAGTATGGTTTGTATAATAATAACATAGTAAGGTCTGACTTGATAATCCTAAATATCTTATATAAAAATATCTTCTATAGATGTATAAATAATAAAATATCAAAGAACCAAGATGTGAAGATAAAAATAAAATAAAAATAAATAAACTAAAGATTAGAATTTAGAAATATATCTACTTTCCATTGTTTACAAAGTATCAAGAATCAATTGGTACTTTATCTATGATAAAATATAAATATGATTTAATTCATTAAAAAATTGGCTAATTTGAGACCAAAAATTATTAACTTTTTTATTTTTTATGTCCTGTATAATTAAATAATTTTAATAAATATAAACTTTAAAGGTTGGCTAGAGGTAAAGGTTTGGAGATTGAGAGTATTAGTCTCTCGGTCCAATATTAAGATTTTAAAAATAAAAGTTTAATAAATGTACCCAATCATATTTATTATTATATCATCTTTAATATATTATTTTCTCAAATATTTATGATATAAGATGTAATTAAATTTAAATATGGATAATACATTACATATAATATCGTTGTTTTTTTGAAGGAATATTGCATATTATAGTTAAACTCAAAGTTTAACGTTTTTATATTATATCACTTAGTCCTTAAAGTTTAAATATGTACTAAGTGCTATATTCTAGTTAAACTCAAAGTTTAAATATTCTAGTTAAACTTAAAGTTTAAATATTATATCACTTTGACGTTTTTATATTGATACTATGTACTATATATTCTAGTTAAACTCAAAGTTTAAATATGCATAATATATCGCATAAATAATAAAAAAAAGAGAGAAATTGAATGAATATCCTTAGAGATTAAAAAGATATATTAGATTTTTTTAAGAGATAAAAAGAGAATAGAAATATAAATTTTAAAAAAAAGTGTATTCATTTAATGTGTTAAAAATAGAAACAATTAATTTTAAAAAAAAATATTGTGTGTATTCAATATATTGAATATAAAATATATTTTTTATTTAAAATTCTTAACTAATGTAAGGTAGTGTTGCTGAACACGGATTAGCGTGAACTTTTAAAAAAAAAAGATAAATATACACTAATTAAATAATTAAAACTTAAATATAAATTAATACTTTGACTACTATGGATTGACTATATAATATTTATACCTCATAGTTTAGATACTGTGTACATACATACATATATTAAGAAGTAAAATTACAATATGGGATTGACCAAAAAATTTCAATACGACAATATGGAGAGATACTAAGTAAATGTTTTGTATAATTTGTTGGCAGTATATAGTTATTAAATTGAGAATTTAATTAGTCCTTAAAATAAAAACTAAAATGGACATTATATTGATCAATTATAATAAAAACAAATTTTAAAATAAAATAAAATATCAATGACCAAAAATCAAAAATAATATATTTGTAATGGCTAAAAATAAAATAAAAAATTGAAGGGGTTAAAAGAAAATAAATTATATATCTTTAAGAAATAATAAACAAAAATCGTCATTAGATATATGTCTAAATTTATTTATATGGTAAATATATGATTATTAAATTTTAAGAATATAGAGATGTGCTAATTATAAAAAGAACACTGTAAATTATACTAATTGTTAGATTCTTACCTAGGCGTTTTTTTCTTTTTCGAGATTCTACTGTAGGTGTTGAATATTAATTTAATACTTACCGGGTTGAATTAGGAATCGGAAGAATTATTGATTTAATTTGATTGTTGGAAAACGAATATGCTATTGAACCGGTAAAAATTGATTAAAATCGATTAAAATCAATAAAAATTGATTAATTGGTAGTTTTGAAAAACCAACGGTTCAAATATATTTTTTTCTCTGATAAAACAATATTGTTTTAAAATATATATATATATATATATATATATATATATATATATATATATATATATATATATATATATATATATATATATATATATATATATATATATATATATATATATATATATATATATATATATATATATATATATATATATATATATATATATATATATATATATATATATATATATATATATATATATATATATATATATATATATAAAAAGGTTAAATATAATTAGATTTCATTCACAACTTATCTAGAACAAATTTTTCTTAGTTTGCAATTAAACTTTCTTCAAAATTTATTTAAATTTATATTTTGTGTTATTTTGTTACAAGTGATTATTATATTTAGAATTTGAATTTAAAAAATTAACATGTTAAATTAAGATATTTCGAAAATTCAAAATTTTATAGGTGTTAGTGATAATTTTTAGAGACTGGATTTAACTGATTTAATAATTATATAATTTTGTTATAAAAATCGATTTATTCAAGTAAGTTATTCGATTTAATTCAATTTACTTATACAATTTGACCTTGACTCAATAATTCGACCAATAAACTAGTGACTCATTATTACCCTCGCCGATTTGATCAGCGGTCCAATTTTTAAAACATTAACACTATTGACTATTAAGACCATGTGTTGTATTTTTATATTTTATGAAAAGAATTTGGTTTTATATATACTAGTTTAATATGAACAAATAGAATAAAGTTTTGGTGGAAAATTAATATGGAATTGATGGAGTAATTATGTTCACCATTGAGAGAATTATTTTTTAATGAACTTTAACTTTAACAGTATCTTGAGAGCATCCCTACGGCTGATTGGTTGGACACTGAATTCTCTCAGAGTGGAAACAAAACAGCAATATTGTTTGGTCCCAAATTTTTATCTGATAGACTCTATCCACGCTCCTCCCCGGAGGTAAGCTACATGCTACTATTACAAATTAAATTACTACTGAAATATTATGACGTAGATCAATTATTTGAGATTTGCAATAATAAAAGTAGAATATTGAATTTGACAGGATCTTGAATTGGCCGAGAGTTTAGTAAGGTCATCGTCCCTCTTTATGGAAGACTTGACTAAGCAAAACAAGTTATTCTCCAAACAAGGTTATGGGTCAGTTCCAACTACTTTTATTGTTTGCAGTGGAGACGTTTCAATTCCATTGAAATTTCAACTCTGGATGATCCAAAATGCTGGCATTAATGATGTATTCGAGATCAATGGCTCAGATCATATGGCTATGATTTCTAAGCCACAACAACTCTGTGATTCTCTCTATCAGATTGCTACTAAATACGCATGAAGTCATGGAATAGTCTTTGACATTATTTATTGGATTTGAATTTTATTTGAGTTCGAATAAAGGGAATGTGGAGAAGTGGCTCGCGTTGCAACTTCAGCTTATTTCTCCATGCACCATGTATGTTATATACAACTTACTTCATATGTTTATGGATAATACAAGGTTATGTCGATGTATATAAACTTCCGAAATATTTAAATGTTCCTTTGTTAAAATATTTTATGCTCCTTTTGTTTTTATGAAATAAAATTGTTCATTTTTGTTACTAAATGTCAATTCACCAAATCGATAATTGAGTAGATAAAGTAAAGTTTTCTTCCAGGACTTCTTCACTCAGATTAATTTTAAGAAATTTAGTAAATGCTACATGGAAAGTATTTTAGATCTAATTTTCTAGCTTACACTTCCTTAAATTTAAAAATTTAAGCTTCAAATGATATTAAATTTATGAAAAATTGTACACTTATCTCTTTCAGAATTGATTCTGAAACCCCTCCAGCTAGTGATCGATCATTGGATTAATCTCCAACAAATTAGAGCACTGCTCACCCAAAAACATGATAACTTTCTAGATTACTAATTGAATATTATAAATGGTTCCCAAGGGAATATCATGCGGCTGGCTTACAGTTCCGAGAGAATGGAATCATACCTTCAAAAATGGAAACAGTGATAGGAACCAGGAACTACACCGCTATTTCAGACTCTATGCGCGCGATATCCATGCTATCAATCATCCGACTCGCTTCAGAGATGGCTTATAATTATAGATCAACTGATCCATCGAAAACTCTACATATGGAGTGACCCAAGATTATATGGAGACTACTAGTAGTCATTTCCCTCCTTTTTGTTCATCAATGCTGCCACTACCTGTTTTCCACAAGTGTTCTAGTCAATCAGCAACCTAACATTTGAGCTTGACAACAAAAGAATTTCTGGCATAACATTCTGAAATAACTCAAGAAGAAAAGGCCTACTCACCAAATATGCAGTTCTATATCCATTAAAAATCACAAGATTGCCAAGCTTCCAGGGTTATACAAGATTCAAGTAGTTTAGTTAATTACTCAACTTTCTGTCTGTCGAATAACTTTTCGTGGCAGCATAACTCTTGAAATCTTCTTAAACTACAAAGATAAGTTCATTACTATTTGTTGAAGATATACAAGAAATAAAGCATTGTTAGGCAACGTACCGTTTCAGAAGCACTTCAGGATTATATGGAAACAGGCTCTTTTGATGAAGATTTCCAATGGAATTGTTTAAAGATAGTAAACATTCTGCAGCTTTCTTGAATTGTTCAATGTTATGGTGCTTGAAGTCATATTCACTATCTTCCTTAAAATTCTTGATATGCAATTCAATACTTCCATTATTGTCAACTGAAGACGACGTTTCATCTGCAACAAACTGTAGATCATCCCCTAAAAGTTTTCTTCTCTTGCAAGATGATTGATTTAAAAGTTCTCCAGATAATGGAAATTCCACAAATGATTTCCATGAGTTGCATATCAAAAGCATGCATCTACCAACAGTCGTGCAAAAGAGGAAAACATAAATAGCAATAGTTGTAAGGGTAAGTGCCAACACCAAAATTCACAACTTAATCGGTAATTCCCTCTTGAATTATTTCAACCTTGACATTAAACTAACTATACATGAACCATAGATGCAACACACCAACCATAACATCCAAACATCAAAATTGATAAAAATACACATACGGCAGAAAACTAGCTACTAAACCCATATCTGATTATAACTCTCCCTGCTTATTTACAATCGCAGAAACTCAGTAAGGGTAACTGTGGTCCAAAATAGTTAGCATAATAATATACCTAAGAAGATATTTAACACAGCTTATTCCAGTATCTTTTGAAATGAGATAGTCAAGAAGCACTTGATGATCATAGTGTATCTGTGTAAGTAAAGGATAAGATAATAAGTTTTTTTTTTCAAAATAAAAATAAGGCAAATGCTAACAAGTTCCCGAGAGAAAACTTGTTAAGGAACCAATATATAGAAATATTATCTTGAAATTTGTGTTAAAAAATAATTTTAAGCTTTTAAAAAGTTAAATACGCAATTTCCAAGAAAATATTTCTCTCTTTGGTTCCTAAAAATAAATAGTGAAATGGATGATAAGTTTTCCTATCTGCATTTACTATGGAAGTAAAATACTAGCCTCTGAAAGAAACAGATGGAAAAGGTACACGGGATTAAAAATGTCAGACAGATCAAAATGAAAATCTCTCTTTACATCCTGATATGCAACATCTTTTCTTCCAGACCTACATCATTGAAATCTCATTATAGTGGCAGTGAATCTCATTGACAAAAGTAAAAGATTAAGTACACTTGCTTACAGTTGCTGGAGACAAGATGATATGCTCAGCAATTGCAAAAGCACTTCAAACAATAGATCATCCTATCATTCAAGTGTTAAATAACCTCAATAAAAGATGTTATCAAGAGACTTAAAATTAGTTTGCTAAAGGAAAACAAGAAAGAACTCTCATTAATGACTCAGTTTAGCAAATATATGTTCAATATAAGAAGCATGGGTACAGATATTCAAAATTCCCATTAAAATTCAAAGTATTTCGACATTAACACAGTAGCTTCTTTTTAAAAAGTTTTCATGCTTCACAGTTTCCAGGACATGATCACCCATCCGAACTTGTCAGAGACATCATGTTGGAAATCTTGGTATGATGTAAACCTGGAGTGGGAGTTGGAATAATTTATTGACATTAAATGGACAATAAATGAGCACAAGTAAGAACTAGCATGGAAGTGAATTTGAAAAGATTCATTTTAGTCCCGAAAGAGTGGAAATTAATTAATATTAATATTATTATTAATTAATTAATAGATGGTGATGTGTCATGCACAAAAGACCAAGTCTTAACCTAATTATTGACTGGTTTTTGCTTGCCCTCCAAAAGACCAAGTCTTAACCTAATTATTCACTGGTTATTGACTGGGCCAATTCCACCTCTCCCACGATTTTCTCCCACTAGACCTGTTCCATTCAGTTGGACATTTTCACTTATAAATTAAGTTGTTTCGGTTCATTTGGGCAGTCCTAGAATTTACTTCTACAATTCTTCTTTCTTCTCTCTCATCACTCACTTCATCTATAATTTTCTTCTCTCTTATTTTCGACTGGATCACTTCGTATCCAGATACTAAGACTGGTTAATTACCATCCAAAGGTGTCATTTTACGAACGACTAATTATAGTGCAAGTAATTGTCGTAATTGAACGGGCTGTTTTATCCTGGAGGCGTCGTCGAAACTCGACTGCTTTGCATTAATATTGGCAGTACGACGAAACGTCTTAAAGAAAGCGACCTAGTACGCGACTCGTCCCGATACTTTTCCTTTGTGCCATTTTTTAAAAATCTGGTTTCTACAATTTTAAGACGATTTCATAACTGCCGTGGCTACTGAGGAAATTATCGGTACTAGCGCTGCCGCTTCTGTCTCTGACAAACCATTTAAGTTTGAGGGTTCCAATTTCAAACGTTGGCAAGCTAAGATGAAATTTTTCTTAACTTTAAAGAAGGTTGCCTACGTTCTGACTGAGGATATCCCTGTTGCTCCATCTGGATCAAACGAACTAAGTAATGGTAAGTCAACCGTGGACTCAAACGGAACTTCTCAAACGTTTGACTTAGACTCCACTGCTAAAGCTGCGGCAGATAACTTACAGCTCCAAAAAGAAATCGCCTTATGGCAAGAAAATGACTACCTCTGCAAAAATCACATTCTGAACAGTCTTGTTGATGATCTCTATGATTACTACAGCAATTACAAGACTGCTAAACAGGTATGGGAGGCTCTGCAGAAGAAATATGATACTGAAGAAGCTGGTGCAAAAAAATATGCTGTCAGTCGCTACTTGAATTACAAAATGGTGGATGAAAGGTCTGTGGAAGCTCAAAGCCACGAGATACAGAAGATTGCTCATGAAATCATAACTGAAGGTATGCCCCTCAATGAACAATTTCAAATTGCTGTTATAATTGACAACCTACCTCCTGGTTGGAAAGATTTTAAAAACCTACTCCGACATAAAACTAAAGAATTTTCAATCGAGAGTTTGATTACCCGCCTTCGAATTGAAGAGGAAGCTCGAAGACAAGATCAGAAAGATGAAGTCTTAGTTGTTTCAAACAACAAAAAGAAATTCGGTGCGGTTCTGAAGCCTACGGGCAAACCTTTAAAGAATCATAACCGTAATACTGTGAACCGAATTAAGAATGGGAATCCCTCTAGGGCCCCATATACTCCAATTCCTAGGCAGCAACCACCATCCCAGAGAAATGATGCTCCGGTTTTCACTTGCTACAATTGTGGGAAACCGGGTCATATGGCTAAGAAATGTAAGAGCAGGCCTAAGTCTGCTACTGACCCAAATGCACAGGTTAACCTGACTGATGAGCAATTCATTGCTATGATCACTGAAGTCGACATGGTTGATGGAAGTGATGGATGGTGGATAGACACTGGCGCCTCTCGTCATGTTTGTAATGATCGTGCTATGTTTAAGACATACATGAATACTGAAGATAAGAAAGTGTTGTTGGGAGATGCCCACACCACTAATGTTGCTGGAATTGGAGATGTTGAGCTGAAGTTCACTTCAGGAAAGACTTTGATCTTGAAAGACGTCATGCACGTTCCTGAAATTAGGAAGAATCTTGTTTCTGGTTTCCTTTTAAATAAGGCTGGGTTTAGTTAAACTATAGGGGCAGACTTGTACACCATCACTAAGAATGGTATTTTTGTTGGGAAAGGGTACGCCACTGATGGCATGTTTAAGTTAAATGTTGATTTGAATAAAATTTGTCCTTCTGTTTATTTTCTGCGTGATTTTAATATTTGGCATGCTAGACTTTGTCACGTTAATAAGCGAATAATGTATAATGCAAGCAACTTAGGCCTGATCCCTAAACTAAATGTCAATGATTCAAATAAATGTGAATATTGTACTCCAGCTAAGATAATTAAGACATCGCATAAATCAATTCTAAGAGAATCTGATCCCCTAGATCTTATACACTCTGATATATGTGAATTAGATGGAACTTTGACTAGGAACAGTAAACGTTATTTTATCACCTTTATTGATGATTGTTCTGATTATACTTATGTATACTTAATGAAGAATAAAAGTGAAGCACTTGATATGTTTAAGTTGTATGTAACCGAAATTGAGAATCAACTTAGTAAGAAGATCAAGAGACTTCGTAGTGATAGGGGAACTGAATATGACTCTGGTCTATTTAAGGAATTTTATAAAGAACATGGAATTATACATGAAACGGCTGCTCCATATTCTCCTGAAATGAATGGTAAAGCAGAAAGAAAGAATAGAACTCTTACTGAACTTGTCGTTGCAATTATGATGAATTCTGGTGCTGCACCTCACTGGTGGGGGGAAATTTTATTGACTGTTTGCTATGTCCTGAATAGAATCCCCAAGTCAAAATGTAAGATCTCTCCTTACGAGATATTAAAGAAAAGACAACCAAACTTGTCTTATTTGAGAACTTGGGGCTCTCTGGCTTATGTCAGAATTCCGAATCCGAAGCGAGTTAAACTCGCTAGTAGAGCATATGAATGTGTTTTCATTGGATATGCAGCAAACAGTAAAGCATATAGGTTTTATGACCTGATAGCAAAAGTGATCATAGAATCAAATGATGTTGAATTCTATGAAGACAAATTTCCCTTCAAATTGAGAAATAGTGGGGGCACACAATCGAGTCACACTCCTGTGATAAGAAGCACAGAATGCAACGACAATATAGAAACAGAACTTCGACGAAGTAAACGAGTAAGAGTCTCTAAAGACTATGGGCCTGACTATGCGGCTTATAATGTAGAAGAAGATCCAATGAATCTTCAAGAAGCCTTGTCCTCTCTGGATGCTGATTTATGGCAAGAGGCTATCAATGATGAGATAGAATCTCTAGAATCCAATAAGACCTGGAACTTAGTAGACTTGCCTCCTGGTTGCAAACCAATTGGTTGTAAATGGGTTTTGAAAAGAAAACTAAAACCTGATGGAACTATTGATAAATACAAGGCTCGCCTTGTTGCCAAGGGTTTTAGACAAAGAGAAAATATAGATTTCTTCGACACCTTTTCTCCTGTCACTAGAATTACATCCATTAGGGTACTTATTTCAATAGCTGCTATTTATAACTTAATAGTACACCAAATGGATGTAAAAACAGCTTTTTTAAATGGTGACTTAGAAGAAGAAATCTATATGGAACAACCAGAAGGGTTTGTAATCTATGGACAAGAAAACAAGGTCTGTAAGTTAAATAAGTCGTTGTATGGACTAAAACAAGCTCCTAAGCAATGGCATGAAAATTTTGATAACTTAATGATATCAAGTGGGTACAAAGTGAATGAAAGTGACAAATGCGTTTACTATAAATCTGAGAACCGCATTTGCACTATCATATGTCTTTATGTTGACGATCTACTCATATTTGGATCTAACATTCAGACCATTAATGATGTGAAATCATTGTTGTGCAACAACTTTGATATGAAAGATCTCGGAGAAGCAAATGTGATCCTTGGCATCAAGATCACGAGATCCGAACAAGGAATTTCTTTGGATCAATCACATTATGTGGAGAAGATCTTAAAGAAATATAATTACTTTGAATGTAAACATGCATGCACACCATATGATCCATGTGTGAAACTATTTAAGAACACTGGAGAAAGTGTCAGACAATCAGAGTATGCGAGCATCATTGGCAGTCTAAGGTATGCCACTGATTGTACTAGACCCGACATTGCATATGTCGTAGGATTGTTATGCAGGTTTACGAGTAGACCGAGTAAAGAGCACTGGAAAGCTATTAAACGAGTCATGAGGTACCTCAAAAGGACCATGGATCTCGGCCTACATTATCATAAGTTTCCTGCTGTACTAGAAGGGTACAGTGATGCAGATTGGAATACTTTGTCAGATGATTCCAAAGCTACTAGTGGCTATATATTTAGCATAGCTGGAGGAGCTGTATCTTGGAAAGTAAAGAAACAAACTATTCTAGCTCAGTCCACAATGGAATCTGAGATGATAGCACTAGCCACAGCTAGTGAAGAAGCAAGTTGGTTGAGATGCTTGCTAGCTGAGATCCCTTTATGGGAAAAACCTATGCCAGCTGTGTTGATCCACTGCGATAGTACCGCGGCTATTGCAAAAATTGAGAACCGTTATTATAACGGTAAAAGACGTCAAATAAGAAGGAAGCACAGCATTGTTAGAGACTGTATCTCTAAAGGAGCTGTAAGAGTGGATCATATACGCACTGATGAAAATTTAGCAGATCCTTTGACGAAAGGATTAGCTAGAGAGAAAGTCCATAATACATCCAAAAGGATGGGACTAATGCCTATAAAGAAATGAGTTGCTCATAATGGTAACCCGACCTAGATGACTGGAGATCCCAAGAAATAGGTTCAATGGGTAATAACAAGTTATGAGTAATATGAGATGATCATGCAAGTAAAGCATGAATCCTGAAGTAATAAGAGGATGAGATAATAGAAACTCTTAATGAGATCTATACTCTGTATGAGGGAGTACCTAGGCTACAGGAGTACTCTTGATAGACTCACCTATGTGACTGTGGAACTTAGGCCGGTTCCTATGGAATTACGAGGCAGGATTCCTAGAGCCTTCACTAAACCGGGATATACGTGCAGGACCATTAAAGCACGGGCTATTAGAATACACCTTAAGAAAAGGTTGTGTGCGGGTCTGATGTCTGAGATAGAGTTCAAGACAATAGTGTCACTCTTGTTGAATCAGAATTCTACTTGCTACGGAAAGGTTCAAGTCGTAGACACCTTTGCTTATGCAGAATCTTAGAAACGTTTGACGTACTTCTAAAAATCACCTTTTAAATTCAAGTGGGGGATTGTTGGAAATCTTGGTATGATGTAAACCTGGAGTGGGAGTTGGAATAATTTATTGACATTAAATGGGCAATAAATGAGCACAAGTAAGAACTAGCATGGAAGTGAATTTGAAAAGATTCATTTTAGTCCCGAAAGAGTGGAAATTAATTAATATTAATATTATTATTAATTAATTAATAGATGGTGATGTGTCATGCACAAAAGACCAAGTCTTAACCTAATTATTGACTGGTTTTTGCTTGCCCTCCAAAAGACCAAGTCTTAACCTAATTATTCACTGGTTATTGACTGGGCCAATTCCACCTCTCCCACGATTTTCTCCCACTAGACCTGTTCCATTCAGTTGGACCTTTTCACTTATAAATTAAGTTGTTTCGGTTCATTTGGACAGTCCTAGAATTTACTTCTACAATTCTTCTTTCTTCTCTCTCATCACTCACTTCATCTATAATTTTCTTCTCTCTTATTTTCGACTGGATCACTTCATATCCAGATACTAAGACTGGTTAATTACCATCCGAAGGTGTCATTTTACGAACGACTAATTATAGTGCAAGTAATTGTCGTAATTGAACGGGCTGTTTTATCCTAGAGGCGTCGTCGAAACTTGACTGCTTTGCATTAATATTGGCAGTACGACGAAACATCTTAAAGAAAGCGACCTAGTACGCGACTCGTCCCGATACTTTTCCTTTGTGTCATTTTTTAAAAATCTGGTTTCTACACATCATCCTTATCAAACATTCATATGAAAGAGTTTTTTAAAAGCTAACCGTTTTTTAAAAGTTCCATAGGACCGACTTCACAAAAATGAAGTCCTGTAGTAAATGCTTTAACCACAAGAGCTCACATGTGACATGGGCCATGGCTCGATACTCAGCTTCTGTACTTGATCGAGCAACAACCGTTTGCTTTTTGTTTTTCCATGAGATCAAATTTCCACCAATAAAAACACAATAACCCGATCAACATCTATCACTTGCATCTCCTGCCCAATCAGCATCTGAATATCCAATGATGTCAGTGCTGCCTCTATCACAAAAAACAAGTCCTTTTCCAGGTGATCCTTTGATATACTTAAGGATTCGAATAACCGCATCCCAATGGATGTCACACGGAGAATTCAGGAACTGAGTTACTACACTAACCGTAAAAGATATATCAGGTCTAGTCAAGGTAAGATAGTTCAATTTTCTTACAAGTCTTCGATTATGGAGAAGCTTTACATTAGGATCCACAGGAGTGTCAACTAGTTTGCAATCTATAAGACCTGTTTCTTCCAGAATATCAAGAGCATACTTCCTTTGAGAGATAACAATACCTAACTTTGATTGAGCTACCTCAATTCCTAGAAAGTACCGAAGAGGACCCAAATCCTTAGTCTGAAAATTCTGAAATAAGTGTTGTTTTAAGGCCTCGATACCCTCAACATCATCACCTGTAATTACAATGTCACCAATATAAACCACTAGATAAATATATTTATTTGAGGAGCGTTTGGTGAAAACAGAGTGATCTGGTTCACACCGGTTCATCCCAAATTATTGTAACACTTTACTAAATCTTCCAAACCATGCCTGAGGTGATTGTTTCAAGCCATACAAAGACTTATGTAATTTACATACCCAATTATACTCCCCCTGAGCAACAAACCCAGGAGGTTGCTCCATGTAAATCTCCTCTTCCAAATCACCATGTAAAAATGCATTTTTGATATCCAATTGAAATAGATGCCATTGTTTCATGGCTGCCATGGCTAGAAAGAGGCGAACAGATGTCATTTTCGCAACAGGAGAGAAAGTATCACTATAATCTTGACCGTGAACTTGAGTGTATCCTTTTGCCACTAAGCGAGCTTTCAATCGATCTACCTGTCCATCGGGACCCACCTTAACATTAAATATCCACCTACAACCAACAATAAATTTCCCAGGTGGGAGAGGAACAAGCTCCCAAGTATGATTAGATTCTAAAGCTGACATTTCATCAAGTATTGCCTGTCTCCACTCTGGATCTCCACTCTGGATGGGATAAAGCTTCCTGAATAGTTTTAGGAATAGAAACAGATGCAAGTGCAGTAACAAAAGCACAATAGGTGGGAGATAACTGGTGATATGACACGCAATTATAAATCGGATAAGGATTACAGGTTGAACGATTACTTTTACGGATGGCAACGGGCGAGTCAAGAGATGGAGCCGGAGCATGCGTGGAGGCGCTTGGAATAGATGCTAAATCACATGGTCTCAACCTTCTCTCATAGGTAATGCCATACCAGTTCAACATTGGTTGAGACTCGTTTATCCCTACCGGTGGACTAGACGATAAAGGACTGGACTCAACCGACTCAAAATAAGGAATAGGTAAAACTTGATCTAAATTAGTTTCAGGGACACCTGAGTTGGGAAATTATGGTATGTCCTCAAAGAATGTAACATCTGCAGATGTGTAGAAACGATGTGTAGAAGAGAGTAACACCGATATCCCTTTTGGACGCGTGAGTAGCCCAGAAAAACACATTTGATAGCACGGGTAGATATTTTATCATGACCTGAGGACAAATCATGAACAAAACGAGTACATCCAAAGACACGAGGGGAAACAACATATAAAGGACCCGTAGGGTGCACCAGAGACCTGATCATTCAACACAAAGGATGGCATTGGTTAATTAGATACCCAGCAGGAACAACAGCATCACCCCAAAACTTTAGAGGTACATTGGCATTTAGCAAAAGGGTATGAGCAGTGTCAACAATATGTCTATGTTTTCTTTCAGCAACACCATTTTGTTGAGGCGTATGAGGACAACTCGATTGATGTACGATGCCTTTGGAGTGCATGAAAGAGTTGAAACGATCAGAAAAATATTGTTTTGCATTGTCACTGCGTAAAATGTGAATTGTTTTGCCAAACTGTGTTGAAATTTCAGAACAAAAACTCTTAAAAGTATTAAACAACTCAGAACGATCTTTCATTAAAAATATCCAAGTACATCTTGAGAAATCATCAATAAAAGTAACATAATACTGATACCCTGGGATCGAAGGAATCCGACTAGGACCCCACACATCGGAATGAACAACGTCAAAAAGAGACAAAGCTCTATTATTAATGCGACTGGAAAAAGAAACTCTAACATGTTTTCCCAACTGGCACGACTCACATTATAAGGACTCTAAATGAGAAAGACCAGACACCATTTTCTTTAATTTTGAAAAACTTGGATGACCTAAGCAACGATGCAGAAGATCAGGAGATTCAGTAGTAGCACATATAGCGGAAGTGGATGGTTGAAGATAGTAAAGACCACTGGATTCAATTCTGACTCCAATCGTTTGAACCGTACTCCGGTCTTGTATCAAAAAGGAATCAGAAGTAAATGTTATAACACAATTTAAAGAGCCGATTAATTTGCTTATAGAAATCAAATTGAAAGGACAATTAGGAATCAACAAAACAGAACTCAAGGACAGTGAGGGGATACGGATACTCGTCCAACACCAGTTGCCTCAACTTTAGATTCATCCGCAACAGTAATATAATGTGGATATTTAGGTGGTGATAATTCAGAGAAAAGTGAGGCATTACCAGTTGAAGCACCAGAATCCATATCCATCCAATAGGAGTAGCATGAGAAAGACAAACCATAGAATTACCATTATGAGCAATAGTACCCGAGGAGGTGGCTTGTTGTGCCTTCAATTGCAAATATTCCTTATACTCGTCTGCGGAGAAAGTAGCTTCTACTTCACCCTTTGATTCACGGTTTGCATTGATTTGAGCAACATTAGCAGTTTTGTTTGGGTAGCCATGTAAGTCGAAGCATCGATCTTGAGTGTGCCCATCTTTCCTACAATGTGTGCAATAGAAGTTGGCTCTGCCTCCTCTACCATGTCCTCAACCACGGCCACGGCCACCCCGTCCTCCATTGCTAAAGTTAGAAACAAAAGCAGATCACTTGGGAGTAGTTTGAGTGTCATCACTTGGTGAGGATACCCGGACGAGACGATTTATTAGTTCTTCTACCATAGGAATGGTAGTATTTGTTAACGTCTGGTCTTTAACCGAACTATATTCTTTAGAGAGGCCATGAAGAACAAACACCATAAACATATTGTCAAGTTTGCCAAGTACCTTTGTGATATCATCACTAACCAGCATAAGTTTGAGACCATCAATAGTAAACTGAGCACAAGTGAGATATTCTGATAAGACTTGATCATTCATCTGAAGGGTAGCCAAGTTGCACACCGACGCATACATTCTTTGAATATCGTTAGCATAAAGGTTTTTAGCCTTCTGCCAAACCTCATAACATGACCTATACGCACGAAAGTGTGCCATCAGATTTGGTTCAATAGAATTCCACAACAGTGATATAAGTTGATAATCAGCGACTTCCCAATCATTTTTTATCTCTTTATCAATTTCTGAAACCTTTTTAGTTAAATGGCCTAACAGACGTTGTTCTAAAAACCATAACTCAACCAAAGCATACCAATTCAAATAGTTCTTATTACCATTTAATTTAGCCGTGGTAATGACAGGTGTTCCTTGAAACGCAAACGAAATAAGATCCTTTTTAGGAGGATTCTCCTCAACAACACCTTCCTTTGGACTTGTAGGTCCAGTCATGTTTTCAACACCAACAAATAAAGAATTTCGGATCGTAGAAACAACACAAAATCGATAGGTTGAATGTGAACAAAGAGAACTAACAACGCACCAATACGTCGGAGGCAAAGAACGGCCCGAAACGTACCTTCAACGTGAGACCCACAAACAGAAAGTGGTCTCACTGGATTCAGGGGACAAAACCGAGCAAGTAGCAAAAATCACCGTCGAAAACGGGCTGCAGGAGGGTGGCACGTGGATCACACGCGCCGGCGAGTGGGTGCGAGCGGGCGCGCTTGGACAAAGCTGTTACCGGCGCGTGTAAAGTGGTTGGCGGCGCGGTTTTAACAGGTGTTAGATCGGGGAATTCCGACCACCACAGACGGCTTGGAACACTGTTTGGTGACGGTGGCAGATTTGAAAACAGAGGGCTCTGCACATATACACCCAGGAGGAAAAAAACAGAAAGAAAAAAAAATAGGGTTTAGAACTTGCTCTAGATACCATGATAAAACTTGATAAAACTGTATTTCTTGTTATATTATGTGGAGAAAATATATGTATATATATAGGTCTAAGCCTCCTAATCAATCCCACTAATTAGTGAAAGATTTGATACAATAATATCCTAAAATAATATTTTAATTGATACTACCATAAAGGCCATAGATACTAAATAATAATAAACCAATATCTCAACAGAAAACAATGGCCATGTTAGACAAGCTTCACAATCATAAATTAATGTGTGCACAAACAGCAAGGAAAGGGAAATTAGACAAACCTCGTGAAGATATAGCTGGAGAAAAGTTGACATGAAGTTCATACATATCTCTGAGTAGTTTTCACGGTTGATAGAGACCTCACTTGGAAGATGTTGTTGAATCCACTTGTAAAGCTCTAGTAATCCCTTTTTTATGCGAAAGTGATCAAACTCTAGATCTAAGTTATTGGTAAAACATGAGCTTAAAGCCGAACAATCACTGTGGTTTTCCTTTGATCCTCTTTGACTGATCAAACTGATAGAACAATCCAGCAAGAGGAAAATAGCTTGTCTTTGTAGATGGCTGGAAGACGTCCCATATGTTTCTCCATCAGACAAACTCAACAAAAATGGAGAGCCTTCAAGACAATCACCTTGAGCAGACAGAAATTGAGTTAAAGGTTGTAGTAGAAGATCTTGAAAGTAGTTATGAAGGATTTCAAGCCAAGAAAATGAGTCTGAAGAGTCCAGACACGAGAGTGAGCCAAACCTGATCATCAGAATCTGCAGAGAACAAGGTAGGTTTGAAGAGTTCACTTCATAGGAGCAAGGTTGTCACTCAAACTCAATAGTCTATATAAACTCGTGAATCTCATAGACTCCGCATGCGAAGTCTTAAGGGTTTACTTGATACAAAAATAATACTTAAAACAGTTATCGTAGTATCATAGAAAAAAATCTATTCACAAACAACCCAAACCAAAAGAGACTCATATCTTATCCCTATAGTGTTAAGAATATTTGTATGTAGAATAGTCCAACATCGACTATATTATAACATTAGTGTAATCTCTCTATATATAATAAAGTCTCCGTAGTGCTTTTCAAAACACATGGTTTAACCTAAATGTCTCTTAGTCTCTCCTAATTCAATATGGTATCTAGAGCCTACTAAGAGGCAATTCTTCGCCGTGTTTTATCCGGTAGATCCACTGTCTTCCGGTGACAATTTTTATTTTACAAACCGTGTCATCACTCCGGTTTGCCTCCCACTTTCCAAAATTCTCCAGTAACCACCGAACTGTTGACGCCATCCGCCGCTTCTAATTTTGGCGACCTTCCGGCAAACTAACCCTACCGGCAAAAGCGCCTCCTTCGATCCGGTCGATTCCAACTATTTTAACACCACTACACTCGCCACCGTGCAACTTTTCCAAATCCGATACTCATGGCTACTCCTCAGAACTTTACGCCAAATTACGATGATTTCCTCAAGTGGTATCAGAATTATCAGAACTCAGATTCTACTGCTTCGGTTGCACACACTGGTAATTCATTTGTTTGCTTCTCTCAATCATCTTCTCTTGGACCTTGGATCCTTGATTCTGGTGTGTCTGATCATGTTACTGGTAATGAAAATCTTTTCTCTTCCCTCTCTACCTCTGTTTTCTTACCTACAATAACTTCTGTCAATGGTTCTCAAACCCGATCCGAATGAATTGGTATTGTTCAAATTCTACCTTCTCTCTCTGTTACTTTTGTTCTCTATGTACCTAATTGTCCATTTAATTTATTTTCAGTCAGTTGTTTAAGTCGTTCTCTTGATTGTATTGTCACCTTCATTAATAGTAATGTCACCCTGCAGGATCGGAGTTCGGGACGGATAATTGGCGTCGAACATCAGTCTCAAGGCCTTTATTACCTTTCAGTGTCATCTCAGACATGCTCAGCCAAAGATTCTCCACTCACAATTCATGCTCAGTTAGGTCATCCTAGTCTTCCCAAATTACAGAAGTTGGTGTCAAGTTTATCGGAAGTATCTAATATATATTGTGAGTCGTGTCAGTTAGGGAAACGCACTCGTAGTCAATTTCCCAATCGAGTCAATAAACGAGCTTCGTCCCCTTTTGCTTTAGTTCACTCCGATGTTTGGGGTCCCTCGCGTACTATCTCTACTCTTAAGTCTTACGTATTTTGTCACTTTTATTGATGATTTTTCACGTTGCACGTGGTTATTTTTAATGAAAAATATATCAGAATTATTTTTTATTTTTGAAAAATTTTATAAAGAAATAAAAACTCAGTTTGGTGTGTTTATTCGTGCCTTAAGAATTGATAATGCTCGTGAATATTTATCCCAACAATTTCAAACTTTTATGTCCAGTAATGGTATTCTCCACCAAACATCTTGTCCTCATACACCTCAACAAAACGGGGTAGCCGAACGCAAAAATCGGCATCATGTAGAAACCACTCGAACCCTACTTCTCCATGGTAATGTTCCACTTTGGTTTTGGAGAGACGCTGTGCTAACGGCATGTTACCTTATAAATCGCATGTCATCATCTGTCCTTAACAATAAAATCCTTCATTCAATCTTTTTTCCCCATTCCCCCCTTCACTCAATTTCTCCCCGAGTCTTCGGGTCTACATGTTTTGTACACAATCTCTCTCCTGGTCTTGATAAACTATCAGCTCGATCACTAAAGTGTGTTTTTCTTGGTTATCATCGATCCCAAAAAGGTTATCGTTGCTATTCACATACCCTACAACGATACCTCATGTCGGTCGATGTAACCTTCTTCGAGTCTGCTCCATATTTCGAGTCCAGCCAAGTAACTCTAGAACCCTTTCAGGAGAGTACTCTCACACTTCTTCCGGAAGTCCCATATGTCATTATCCCCCATCATTCTAGGGAACCTGGCCCACTAGATAACCCTACGGTTAACCCCCCGACTTCTCATCCACTTCAAACATATCAACGTCGTCAACCAACGTTTGTCGAACTTGTCCCTGAGGTCGTACCTGCCCCTGTGGTTGTACATGTCCCTGAGGTCGTACATGTCCCTGAGGTCATTGCAGACTCTCCTCCGACGCTCTCGCCATCACCGGATCCGATCCTGCAGCCTGATTCCGATCTTCCGATTGCCCTTCGAAAAGGTATACGTCAAACACGAAATCTTTCTCCACATTATATTGAATTATGTTATCATCGTCTTTCTCCTTTGCAGTATATTTGTTTGTCTTTTTTGTCTTCTGTTTCTATTCCTAACACTCCAGGTGAAGCATTATCTCACCCTGAGTGGAGGCAATCAATGATTGATGAAATGTGTGCTCTTCAAAGCAGTGGTACCTGGGAACTGGTTCCTCTACCCCCTGGGAAATCTTTAGTAGGTTGTCGTTGGCTTTATACAATGAAAGTTGGTCCAGATGATAAGATTGATCGATTTAAAGCTCGCTTGGTAGCCAAAGGATACACTCAGATTTTTGGATTGGATTATAGTGATACCTTCTCGCCTGTAGCCAAGATGACAGCTGTTAGACTTTTTCTAGCCATTGCAGTCATTCGACATTGGACTCTTCATCAACTTGACATGAAAAATGCATTTTTACATGGTGATCTTGAATAGGAAGTATATATGGAGCAACCACCTGGGTTTGTTGCTCAGGGGGAGTCATCGAATATGGTTTGTAGGTTACACAAGTCTCTTTATGGTCTTAAACAATCTCCGAGAGCTTGGTTTGGCAGATTCAGCACTGTAGTACAACAATTTGGTATGGTCCGTAGTGAAGCTGACCATTCTGTCTTTTATCGTCACTCAGCCCAATAGTGTATTTATCTTATTGTGTATGTAATGATATTGTCATAACTGGTAGTGATGAGCAGGGAATACTCTAGTTGAAACATCTCTCGAATCAATTTCAGACAAAAGATCTTGGTAAACTCTGGTATTTCTTGGGTATTGAGGTACCCAATCTAAAGATGGTTTGGTGATTTCTCAACGGAAATATGCTATGAATATTTTGGAAGAAACAGATTTGTTGAACGCTAAACCAGTTGATACTCCTATGGATCCAAGTGTCAAACTATTACCCAATCAGGGGAGCGTCTATCAAACTCGGGAAGGTATAGAAGATTGGTTGGAAAGTTGAATTATCTCACAGTCACTCGTCCAGACATTTCTTTTGCAGTCAGTTCCTAAATTCCCCTTGTCAGAAACACATGGATGTTGTTATCCGGATTCTGAGATACATCAAATGTGCTCTAGGAAAAGGTTTAGTGTATGAAGATAAAGGACATACTCAGATAGTTGGATACTCCGATGCTGATTGGGCAGGATCGCCCATTGATAGACGATCCACCTCTGGGTATTGTGTACTTGTTGGAGGAAACATTATATCTTGGAAAAGTAAGAAACAAAATGTAGTTGCAAGATCGAGCGCCGAGACAGAGTATAGAGCCATGGCAATGACAACATGTGAACTTGTTTGGTTAAAACAGTTGCTCAATGAACTTAAAATTGAAGAAGCAAGACCAACGACGCTTATTTGTGATAATCAAGCTGCATTGCACATTGCTTCAAATTCGGTCTTCCATGAACGGACCAAACATATTGAGATTGACTGTCACTTTGTCAGAGAGAAGATTGAGTCAGGCGACATCACCACAAGCTTTGTCAACTCGAATGATCAATTGGAATATGTGTTTACAAAATCTCTGCGAAGTCCCAGAACTAATTATATATGTGATAAGTTTGGTGCATTTGACTTATATGCTCAAGCTTGAGGGGGAGTGTTGATATATATATATATATATATATATATATATATATATATATATATATATATATATATATATATATATATATATATATATATATATATATATATATATATATATATATATATATATATATATATATATATATATATATATATATATATATATATATATATATATATATATATATATATATATATATATATATATATAGTGTTAAGAATATTTGTATGTAGAATAGTCCCACATCGACTATATCATAACATTAGTTATAATCTCTCTATATATAATAAAGTCTCTGTAGTGCTTTTCAAAACACACAGTTTAACCTAAATGTCTTAGTCTCTCCTAATTCAATAGTTGCATTAATTGGTGTTGCATGTCTCCTTCTATATCCTGAGGACAACATGCATCTAAGTACTCTGTCATTGATGTTTAGCTGGAGACTACACATAATGATGAAATTTTAGGGTTTAGATGTCAAATGGAAAAGAGACTAAGAGAGTATATTGAATCAAACTCTGAAAAGTTGTTTTACATATAACATGCCTTATACTTCTATATATACTAAGAATCTAGGTCAAATAGAATAAAGTTAGTAAAATTCACATCTAATAGCACAGATAAAGTATTAACACAGTATATCAGCTCAAGTAAAGTGTTTGATGAAAGAAAGAAAAAACTCAAGCACTAAATTTAGTTTGAGATTGAGATGGAATATTTTTGTCAAGGTTTGACAGTGTTACACAGAAACACAAACAAATTAATCATATGAAAGACAGACACAAAAATACCAAATCTTTTATTGATGAATTGAATATCAATTGGTCTCTTCCAAGGGTTTCTCCATACAACCACACCGCTTACCCGTTTTCCCATTGCTAACAATTTTCCATTCCACTACCTTATCCTATTTTAGCTGAACCTCCTTTGCTAATAGCCTAATACTACTTGACTATTTGTTCTAACTAACTACTAACACCCTAATGTAACCAATATGTAACATTAACTAATTATTGATATTTGAGAATCTCGAAAACTAAAAACAGTCAGCAATTAAATTTTACTTCTTGTTCTTTGTATACCACAAAACGCACAAGACATTTATATACTAATCATAACCTTCTTGTCCATAAAACTTAAATTGGAAACAGTGATCATTATTTGCATTCAATCCCAAAAGTGATGAAAAAATCAGTTCTCAAGTTCTTGAACAAGTGGAAGAACCATACCAGCAATTTATGTTTCATGTAATGGATGATGCAAGTCTCAGAATTGTCTTCTTGCTTGCGGAGACACCACTTTACAAGTCTAGGTATAAGGTTCATTACTGTGACAAATAGTGGATGTTTGTCAGCAGAATCACAACCAGTATCCACAAAATCACTCCGGTCAACCAAAGTGCATAGTAACCGGAGAATAGTCCCAAGAAATCTGATTCCAGGATCCATAGCACCAAAATTACTGCGATGCAGCACATTCGATGGCAAGCTTTTCTTCATGCTAACAGTATCACAACTCCAACACTCATCCAACGAACTCCAAGGCATTTTCAAAAGACAAGAATTAACAGAGTCATAGTACACTTTGACAAACTCATCATCATAATCCTCCTTCAAATGTTTGCATATAACACGAAGCGCTCCAACGATACCAGCCACAGTAGACCAGTCACAACTCATCAGCCTATGTTGCAGCACGAAATCAACATCAGGAGAATCAAAGTTATTATTTTCAGACGAACACGAGAACATTCTAGTAAAAGCCACTTCCAAGGAACAGCATAACAAATTGACAAATTCATCCCAATTGTTCCCCTGTAAATAATCACAAGGAATCATAAATAACATAAACTATACATAAGCATAACATTAGCATAACCTCATCAAAACCACTACGAATATTACTTACCGTCGCGAACACAAACTCTGAAATTAAGACAAGAGCATTGACAGCAACGTGTTGAACGAATTCATTTTTAACAGCTAACAAATTCACCTGCAACATAAAAAATAAAAAAAAATACAAACCATATTCAAAAGAACGTTAAACAGAAAGCATATCAATGAATCGCTGGTTCTGACACTCGCCATTTTAGTCACAATTTTCAGTAGACATTGATGGACGGAGCAATGTTCCTCGGAACCGTGCAATTCTTCTTTATTCGAAGAAGAATCAAATTCACGAATTCGCAGCTGAATTTTCCTCACGACCTACGAAAAAACGCCAAATAAACGAATAAATGAACAATTAAGCAACTATAGAAGATTGAACTGAACGTTAAGATGAGAACCTGAGAAGAAGCAATTAGGATTTCCTTCTCGTTCTCTTTGTTCGTTGAAACGAACGCGCGTGGCTCCTGAGGTACATGGAAAGAAGATTTAGTTTAACGGATCGGTTAAAAAAGGTAATACTATAGTTGAATGTGAGAATAGTGAAACAAACTGTGTAGGAGCTGAGAGATTCGTCGACACAGCGGCAGAGCCACCACAGTTCACCGGCCGGAGACATTTACTGAACTCACGAGTGGTTTATGCCGGAGCCGGGCGGGTAAAAGCACCAAACGCTGCGTTTCTGGGGCAATGGGTTTATCGGAGGCAAAGTTGCTACTTATTGAGAAAAAAAATATTAATACCTTTTTTTTAAGTCTCTTAGCTATTTCTCTTGATCCATTTTGATCCTCTTTCTTTTAAAACGTTTAAGTTGGTCTCTTACGTTATTAAAAGTGTATCATGTTTGTCTTTTATGTTCGAAATGTTATATTAACTTAGGTGAGGTGGTTGACTTGGTAACTTATTACTTAGGCGGCATGAAAAGATTGTTTAGATGACATGATAAGTAAGATTAATGCTCACAAAGGTTGAAATAGAAATCAACCCTAGCAGAGAGAACAACGGGACCATTGTTGGCATTGTAGAAGACGAAGGCGCATCATAGACGAAGGCTCAATCAAGGTTAGTTTACACAATGTCTTTATGTATTATCATTGTGTGTTAATAGTTTTGTTGCATTTCCGTAATATCTATGTACGTTCATAGTTTTTATTGTTGGGTTTAGATATTTAGGGTTTTCGCCCCTTTTGATTGCTGCGCTTTCTTGTCTTAGATAGTAATGGATGAAATGTTGTGTTTGAAAGTTCATCATAGTGGTGAGTTTGTGAACTCTCAAAAAACTGTATATGTGGGGGGTAAATGCAATGAGTTAGAAGTAGATGTGGATAGGTGGAGTTACTTTGAATTGGTTGGTGTACAGAAAGATCTAGGTTATATTGAGGTAAACACCATCTATTATAATGACCTCACTTTTGGGATTAATGTTCTTAATGATGACAAAAGTGCGTTAGAGGTTGTTGATCCTCTGTAGGATACACTTGACAGCTGATATTTACATATAACATCCCATATCCCAACCAGAATATGTTGATAGTCCTATAGAAGAACCTATAAACATGGAGGAAGAATCTATAAGTGTGTTTAATCCTGAGGGTGTGAACAATGATGTTGTAAAGGGTGTGAATGTAGGTACTGAGGATTTGAACAATGATGGTGTTGAGGGTGTCAATGATGGTGATGTGCATGATGGTATAGATATTAATGCTGGTTTGTTGAATGTTGCTACAAGCTCTAATGATAGTGAGGATGAGACTTACAATTATAATAGTGCTTTAGATGTTGCATTTAGTGATTCTGATTTGAATGTGGATTATGCTGAAGACCATTTAGACAACCTAGTTGAATATGGTGTAAACAATGAAGGAACAAGTAAGGGCAAGAAAAATAAATGGGAAGGAGTCAGTGGAGAGGAGAATGGAAGTGCATATGATAGTGAGGAGTTAGAAAGTGGTTCTGATAGTGGGGGGAGTGATGCATCAAGAAAGAAGAATTATCTCATTTTCAAGTTAATGAAAGATATGTCTAATTATAAATAGGAGTTGGAAACTTATTTTAGTTCAAAAAGTGACTTTAAGGAAGCTATTCAAACCTATGTTATCCAATCTGGGAGTGGTCTAAAGTTTTTAAAAAATGACAAACAAAGAGTGGGGTGGGATGTAAGAAAGGTTGTCAGTGGTCTGCATATTGTGGAAAGTTTATATACATTTTGTGTTATTGTATTTCTGAATTTTATACATTTTGTGAAATTCTTATAAGATGTCATCTGAGTTCATCTTTGAAGTCAGACACATTAAGAATCAAGGTGATATGTTTTCTGTCAACTTAAAGGATCATGAATGTTCATGCAGAAAGTGGCAACTGACAACTCTCCCTTGTGTTCGTGCAATTTCTGCAATGAGGAGTAGAAGTCTATGTATTGATGATTACATCTCAGAGTTTTATAAGAAGTAAAGGTATCAAGTTGTTTATGAACCTATCATTTATCCTGTTAATGGAACCAAATTATGGGTTAGAACAGAGTACCCAAATGTGCAGCCACCAAAATTCAAAAAAAAATGCCAGGAAGACCCACGAAGAGGAGGAAATGTGATCAGGGTGCAACTGATGGGACAGATAGAAAGATGAGAAAAATTGGAATGGTACTTAGGTGTATCAGGTGCAGACAAACTGAACACAATAAATCAACTTGTAAGAGGACTCCTTCAACACAAGCATCTCAGACACCGACTCAAACAACTCAAGCAAGGGCAACACGGGTATCTCAGCCACCAACTCACACAACTCAAGCAAGGGAAACACAAGCATATTAGCCACAAACTTAAACAACTCAAGCAAGGGAAACACAAGCATCTCATCCATTAACTCAAACAACTCAAGCAAGGGCTACACAAGCATCTCAAACAACTCAATCATCTCAGAAAGGAGGGAGGCCAAATAAGTTACCTATTAGGAAACCAGCTTAGGCATCTGTTACAAAGGGTCCAACTACCAGGCTAAGTGCATTACAAATGCAGTTGGACCTACCACTAGGAGGACCACTCCAATAAAAAGAAACAATCCAAAGAAAATCATTTAGTCATGTGTGTGTATTGTATGAATTTTATGTAATTTCTGTTTTGAGAACATGGTTAATGTCATGTATGTTTATGTCAAGTGTCTATTTTGAACAAGTTTTATGTCAAGTGTATGTCTCTGTAACAAATTATGTCAAGTGTCTGTTATTTTGAACAAGGTTTAATCAAGTGGAATTTTATCATTCAAACATTCAACTATAATTTTGTTTTGAAAAATAATGCCAAATGTATTCAATTGGTGCAACTAAATAATGTAACTAAATAATGCTCAAATATTCAATCATGTAACTAAATAATGTCAAAAAATTCATATAACATTCATAACACATTCCAGTTTGAACCTAAACTTCTAACTTTTACAACAACTTGAACACAACAATAGAACTTTTACATAACATATTCATGAACACAACATAAAACACAACATAGAACCTAAACTTCCAACTTTTATGACAACTTGAATACTAAAACAAAGAATACAACATAGAACATAAACTTCCAAAAAAATTCCATTTGATGGTGTTCTTCAGAGCTTCTTATAATTCCATGTTACTAAGCTTGAATACTTCAACCTCTTTGTTGGCTTCCTCCACCTCTCGAGTTAGCACATATGTCTTCCTTTGTTGCTTCATCGTGATTTGCTCATTTTTATCCTGAGTTTCTTCGTATAACCATTCAAAGAATCCACAACCAGCATTACTATATCCCTATAGAGATTAAGAAAGAAAATTACAATGTAGTAAATAAACATTTCAACCTAGAATATTCAGACTAAAGCTTACCTTATAATGTTGACAACCCCAAAAAAGCTTTCTATAATTGTTGACAGTTCTTGCCTTTCAAAGTATAGCATTGTCTCCACAACGACAAAAAGGTTTCTACGGAAGATTAGAGCTGCTAAATACATGCAGATCACTTCTGTTTTTCGATGATGATAATGAACCGCGCCCAAAACTCATGATTAGTGAACCAATGTACACGAATTAGGTTTCACTTTGGGGGTTTTGGGGTGATATTAACGTTAGGCTACAATTTGGGGGTAACTGGTAAAGTGATTTGGCATCAACAAAGAAGAATGTGATGAATAGAATAATCCACCTCAGCTGACACATCATTTACACTAATGTCGTTTGGCAATATTTTACAGAAAGGACTAGTTTGATATTGTTTGACAATGTAAGGCACCAACTTGGACATTTTAAAAGAAAGAGGATCAAAATGGACCCATAGGTATATGTACAAGACTAAAAAGGGTATTAAGCCAAAAAATAGTTGATACTAGATAATTTAAACATTAAATTTTAGAATTTTTTAATAGAGGTTAGTTATTACTAAATCCATTTTTGAAAAAATTATTCCAAAAAATATTAGAGAAATTATTCAAAACATATCCTTATTTCAAGTAATTTTTAAATTTATTTAGATAATAGTTCGTGTCGAAAAATAAAATTGATGATACTTTGATGACCATCATTGTGAAGGTGCTTATAATGAGGTCGTGATGGTTCTTTGGAGAAGGTACCCTCAGAAAAGGTTAGCATTTCGAAACTCAGTTAGTATGAGATTGAGGAGGAAATTTGCAAGTATGAGTTGAATCATACCTAATGTGACACATGTTCACGCTTATATAAGAAACATAATTACAAAATCTTTGGGTTGTACAACATGGAGAGCATATGATACTTGGATGAAGATTAATGGCTCTGGTCAAAGGAAATGTGTGCTCCAGTGCGGCATTATGTGATGTAGGTATGCTTATATCTCATAACTCTAGTGTTTCTTGAGTGGATTGGGCTCCCGCATTAGGTTTGTCTTTATGGACTTATATTATCTGAAACATTTGTCTCTCAAGAGGATGCTATCAATTATGAAGCAAGGATTATTGTCATGAAGTAAGGTTGGCCACTAGTTTGAATTGTAGTAACATTGTCCATTGAGAGATATTGCTCATTGAGGAGGCACTTTGTAGTGCTCCTACTTAGCTGGAGTAGTTGGCATCGAGAGCCTACACATTAAATGCACTTTATGCAAGTGAAATGTTTATGCGGTGGTGGTTAATACGTGTTTCATGCATGTATGGGGAAGAGGTGACGTGCATAGAACCACTTAAGTGAACTCAAGTGCAATTAATGAATCAAAGTGATATTTGATTCATTGGATATGACTATTGATCTTCGAATGGATCAGTGCCATTGGACTTCATATAAAGTGTGAACCTTCATTTCATTTGCACTTTTGCGTCCTTATTAACTTTAAGAGCTTTTTGAAATAGAGAGTTTTAATTGCTTCTTCATTGATGTTGGAGGTTCTCAATTTTGGGTTCCTTTGTTCAATCGATATGCTTTTTCATCTACTTTATCTAAGATAACTGCATTTATGAGTTTTTGTTTGCGCTTACACATGGAGAACCTAGAAAACCCAAGTGTATAAATTCGTAGTGATGTCGTTTCTTACAATGAACCAGTGGTAGTAATCCTAGTGATATGGACTTTTATCCTCCCTGTTTTAATAAGAAACGGTTCAATAGGATTTATTTTTTGGAAAG